AAGGGCAATGAAAACCCAGACTGGGACACAACCCCGCTCTGCTGGGCTCCCTGACTAGCAGGAGCACCCACACGTCCCTGACCACCACCTGCTCAGGCTCCAGATCCTGGAGAGGAGGTAGGAAGTGTCTCCCCTCCTTATCAGGCATGCAGCATTTGTTAGAAGCTGCACAGTCTCTCTCGACCGGGGTTCGTCATCTGAGCCACTGGATGCAGAAAACGACTTGAGTGACTCTTCTTAGTTCTTCCAAGGATGGTATATAACTAGTCCCATTGTAGAAAGAAGTTAACTGATTACACACAATAGGTGCCTTAGAGTGTTAGGGCTTAATGCTCTCCCAGACGTCAAGGCCTCGAGAGCTTTAAAAGGAGGTTACATTTGTGGATGCTGCCACCGTGCAAAGAGCTTCCAGTCTAAACGTCTGAAAATAGCCCCAGTGGGACCAGGGCTTCTTTGGTGAGCCTGCCATGGGTCATGTGTTAGAGCCATGCCCACTGCATTCACAGTACCCACCCCACACCCTGCACCCCAAGCCTTCCCCGCATTCCACAGCCAGAGCCCTGCTCACACCACAGCTACACTCAAACAAACTGCAGAGAAAGCTTCTGCCCATCGCTTGGCACCAGGTGTAGCTCTAGCAGAGATGAGTCCATGTGACCACCTGTCGCTAGAGTGGCCTGTAGCTCTGCCACTTAGTCAAGGTTTGCTCTTCAAGCTGCCTGGCAAGGCCCCACCCAGGCTCCAGGCCTGGTGCCTCCTCCTCTCTGCCGCCCTCCAACTGCTCCTACAGCTTAGCTCCTTTCCAGGCCTGCCTACTCACACCTCCCTGCCTCACCCTGCCCCTTGGCCTTTTCAGATTGTGGCTGTATTTCCGGAAAAAGGTCATCACTGAGAATAACTCACAACTCTGGCTTAGTGAGGAGGGTAAGGGCAGCTCCGGTTACTTCACAGTGGGTGCTACTGGCAGGCACCCAGGGGAGGATCACCCTGGCTTTGCAAGCTTGGCCTGCCCTCGATGGAAGTGGAACCCTCATCCTGACTGGGCTGTTTCTGCCTCACAAGCCTCTCTGAGGGCTTCTCTGCTTTTCTCAAAGCCAGGCATGTAGCAGCCTGCTCAATACACATTGACCTGACGTCATGGTCCCTCATATGTGGCTCAGTGGTCATGATTTAGCAAAAAACGCATAATTCACCCAGCACAAGGACGTGTCCTTACTTACATCCCAGAACTCGAACATGTTTTGAGGGTCAATTCCAAACTCCTTCACTTTGGTCTAAAATGAGCAAAGGGAGAGGGAGAGAAGGAAGCAGGTATTAGCTGGACAAGAGCAGCAGCTCCAGGGTGCGAGGTCATACTGTACGAGTTGTGGGGGCAGGGCTGGAGCAGCTTATGGGACCAGGGCAGGGACTAGAGCTGTCCACCCCCAAAGATGGACACTAGGCCAGCTCACATCCAGCACACTGGTGGCCTGGCACCTGCGAAGACTTCCTGCTGAGGTGGCTGCATACCCAGGGTGAGGACCTGGCCCACACACTGCTCTGAAAAGCGCTACCTCTTAGGCCTGTTGGGGTCCCAGAGAGCCACCCCCCAGGACATCTGGGAAATGAACCCAGAGCTGGAACCCAAGCTCAGGCAGGGACCATCTCCCAGGCCAGGTGCCACACAGCCAGGACATCTGCCCAGCCCTTCCAGAATCTGGGATGACTCTGCCCCAGGAAGCCTTCATGTGTTTCAGTCCCCCAGGCAGACAGGGTCACCACACCCCTTTACCTCGTCCCCACAGGAGGAGACGCCCTACTAACCCGTCTGGGCTCCACCTGCGGGAGCCAGATGGCCTTAAGATGGCCCCATCTCCCCCATTGGGCAGGCCGGCCCTGGAGGCAGGAAGGCGAGGAAGGGGTGTGAGGGAGCAGTCAGGGAGATCTGGGTGTGGTTCCAGCTCTGACTCAGCTCAGCACAAAGCCCAACACACAGCAAGTGCTCACAGGCTTTGCGGTGGTTGTTACTCCTGGAGCAAAGCCCCACCAGGCCCCGCTGGCCCACCTCCACCCCACCTTGCACAAACTCAGGCCAGGCCAACTGTGAGAACTGGCAAGCAGGTGACCCGAATTCTAATCCCAGTAATCACTGGGAAAAAAGTCATATCCCTTCGCTGGGGCCGACGACCTTATGTGAGAAATGGGGTGCAGCGCCCACCCCGGGCAGCACTTGGGGAGAGGCCAGTGGCAGGGTAGCAGAGGCCAAGGGAGGTCATGTGTGTGGGGTGTTCTGAATATCAGTCAGGCCTGGGAGATGGATGGGGTTGACACTATTTCACTGACTTCAAGCCTCTCATCGGAGCTGCAGAGACTTGAAGGGAAAATGCAGAAAAGACAAGGAGGGTTTGCAGCTCACATCCCTCACAGGCAACCAACCCTCCTAATCCACTCAGCGGAGCCAAGATCCCCAAACCTGTGAACCACATCTTGATGCAAATATTCTGAATGGCTATGACCTTGTGAGGCCTGGACCATTCCAGGGATGTAGTCTGGGACTCAGGTGGGCACTCACCGTGTTGGTAGACAGGGCAACAAAGTGCTTCGCAACTGCAGAAGGCTGCAAGAGACAGAGCCAAGTTACACCAAACCCATCCTGGGGCGGGGGGGCAGGGGGAACCCAAGGGTAGTGACCCTCCCGTTTCTAGAGAAACCAAGGCCCTGTGTGGGGCCGACTGTTTCCAGTCCATGGTTCTGAGGCTGTTGGAGAAGCCCCACATCAAGGTCAAGAGGACAGAGAGGCCAGAGGCCAGCCAGCCCATCCTACCTCACTAGCATACAAGGCCCAGGGATGGCCCTCCCTATAAAGTGGGTGTGGCTAAGGGTAGAGAGGATTCCACATGGCCAAGGGGCCTTAAATAAAAGGCCCTCAGCCAGTTAGAGCAGGTTCTGCCACATTTGGTGTGTCTGGGGTTAACGCAAAACCAAGCATCTTAACCAGTAAAGTCAGCCACCAGAGAGGCTGCCTCCTGCTACAGAAATAGGGCTGTAGGGCCAGGCTTGGCCACTGAGGTGGATAGGCAGGCCCACCCTGTCCTTCCGGGCCCACACGCTGCCCACTACCCACCCAGCACTCACATTCTTGGCCGACATGAGAAGCCACTCCTTTGCCGTCTCTGCATTCGTGATGGTCTCTTGGGTGGTAAAGGTCTGCAGCCAGAGAGTACAGCAGTCAGTCCCAGCTCATGGTCCATGCGGCCTCCAGCAAGGACTTAGCAGCAGAGGCCATGTGGGTACCCAGTGGTCACAGGGAGCAGTGCATGAGGGTCACTGACAGTTACTTCCCATAACCTCCACCCACATGTCCACAAAGCCACGATGAGTGGCAGTGTCTGGGGCAGGAAGGGGCCCAGAAGGAGTAGTGTCATCCTGTGACTCCAGGACTTCACAACCAGAGGGAGAGGAGCCCTAGTAAGAGCCATACTCCCTCTGTACGCCCCCATCCCTGCCACAGGTCAAAGACCAGAGCACCTTCCAGGAGAGGGGCTGCGGCCATGTCTGGGGCTCCCTTCAGCCCAGGCTAGGCTGTATCTCAGAATTCAGACAGAATTCTTAATGTTTTATGTGTATTAACGTGAGTAAACAGAGAATAAATGACAACAAACAAAACCCTACATTATCTGAGCATGGCTCTGGGATTAGAGAAAAGCAGACACTAGGAACAGATCTCTAAGAAAGATAAGAACAGTCCAGGCCTAAGCACAGATCCCACAAAGCAAGCAAGTAGGGCCTGAAGACCAATGTTCAAATTGACCAGTCCGGGCTTTCATCAGGTAAACAGTTTGTCCCCAGACAAAGAACAGCCTGAGGGCAGCTGTGCTGATCGGATCCACAAAGCACAGTTCACTCAGAAGTGATGGGTCACGTGCCCAGGGCAGTGGCCAAGCATCCACCTGCCCCGCCCTTCCCGTACCCCAACACACATAGGGCTGGGGAGCCAGGCTGTACCTTGGAGGCGATGATGAACAGGGCTGACTCAGGGTTCAGGGCAGCCAGGGTTTTGGCAATGTGGGTCCCATCAATGTTGGAGACAAACCAAACCCGAGGACCTCCTGAAGAGTATGGCTTAAGGGCTTCTGTCACCATGAGGGGTCCCTGTGGGGAGACNCAGCCCTGCCTACCTATTCTTGATCCTGGGTCCTCAGGCCTTACCTGATGGGCCAGCTCTGCCCACCTGTGTTTAACTCTCACTCCGCAGACCTCACCTGGTGGGACAGTTCTGCTTACCTGTGCTTGACCCTGGGTCCTCAGAACATACCTGGTGGGCCAGCTTTGCCTACCTGTGCTTCACCCTGGCTTGCCCAACCATATCTGGTGGGCCAGCTCTACCTACCTATATATGACCCTTGCTCCTTATACTGTACCTAGGGGGCAGTTCTGCCTACCTGTTCTTAACCCTGGCTCCTCAGACCTCACCTGGTGGGCTGGCTCTGCCGAGCTGTGCTTGATCCTGGTTCCTCCAACCCTTCTGGTGGGCCAGTTCTACCTACCTGTGCTTGCTCTTGGTTGCCAAGACTGCACCTGGGAGGCCAGCTCTGCCTACCTGTACCTCATCTTATTTGCTTACATCTCATCGAAGGCTTTAGTTCTTACCTGAGCTTAGCTGTGACTTTTTAGATCTCACTGGACAGACCCAGTTTGTTAACCTGCCCTGATCCTCACTCCACAGACCTTACCTGACAAACCCTGCTCTACCCACCAGGGCTTAACTCACACTGACAACCCAAGGAAACGAACCTGTGTGAGATACAGACTCCATAGACTTTACCTCAGAAACTCAAATCCATATACCTGTACCTGGCCGTGACTCCTCAACTTTACACGACATCTCTATAAGATAGGCAGAGATGCAGTTCTACCTGCCTATCTTGACCTCACCTGGAAGATCCAGATCTACTCACCTGTACCCAATCCCAGCTCCTTAGATCTCACCTGGGAGACCTCGCTGTGCCCACCTGTCTTTACATCATATCCTCAGAGGTCGTCTAAAAGATCCAGTTCTTTCTAGATGAGCCTATCCCTGGCTCCTCAGGCCTCACCTACAGATCTGTTCTACCTACCTGTGCCTTAGCTCAACTGGGAGACAGAGTTGAATAAACCTAGTGATGGCTTTTCAGGTCAACCTCCCTCTGCTTGCCCTTGGCTTCATAGACATTACCTGAAAAACTCAGCTCTACCCACCTATGCTTGAACCCAGCTCCTCAGATGTGGAATATAAACAAAGGCCTGATCTCAGCAGCTCAGACCTTATCTGTTCAAGACTCAAAGGTATTAACCTGTGTATCTCACCTCAACCCCTCAAACCTCACCTGACAGACCTGCTCTACATACCCGAGTCAGACCCAAAATTCATGAACCTTCCAGATGGATGCAGTTCTACATTCCTTTGCCTGACTCCAGTTTTCAGTCTTTTCCCAGGAGACCCAGGACCATCAACTTCTGTGCATCACCAGAACTGCTCAGATATCACCTGAGGATGTAGTTCTGACATGGACCTGAGCATGGATTTATAGTTCTCACCTGTCCGACTCAGCTCTGTGCCTATCTTTGACTCCAGTGTCCTTACCTGACCAACCCAGCTCTACCTAAATGTGCCTAATCTTGGCTCCTCAGGCCTCCTTAAGAAACCTAGCTAGGGCCGGCCGAGTGGCGCGTTGGTTAAGAGCTGGCTTGGGACGCCAGAGGGCCCCGGTTCGGATCCCACATATGAGGGCCAGTGACACTGCCAAGAACCACTTGGGTTAGATAGAAATCCACGTGGATGAAACCGGGCTTAAACCAAAAAAAAAAAAAAAAAAAAAAAAAAAAAAAAGAAACCTAGCTACACATACCTTGTCCCATTCAGCTCCCGAGACCTTAGACAGATGTGGCTCTACAGACCACCCTGGCTGACTCCACTATACAATAGTCACCCATTATCCGCAGTTTCACTTTCTGCGACTTTAGTGACTCATGGTCAGCCATGGCCCAAAAATATTAAATGGAAAATTCCAGAAATAAACAATTCACAAGTTTTAAATTGCACACCATTCTGAGTAGGGTGATGAAATCTCTCAGCAGCCTGCTCTATCCTGCCCCAAACGTGAATCATACTTTGTTCAGCGTCTCCATACTGTAGATGCTCCCTGCCCATTAGTCACTTGGTAGCCGTCTAGGTTACCAGATTGACTGTCGTGGTATCACAGTTGCTTGTGTTCAAGTCCCCTTATTTTACTTAATAGTGGCCCCAAAGCGCAAGAGGAGTGATGCTGGCGATTCAACTATGCCAAAGAGAAGCTATCAAGTACTTTCTTTAAGTGAAGAGGAAAGTTCTCCACTCAATAAGTAAAGAAAAAACTCATGTGCTGAGGCTGCTCAGATCTACAGTAAGAACGACTCTTCTGTCCATGAAATTGTGAAGAAGGAAAAACTTGTGAAGAGTAAGTACAGCACCGTAAGATATTTTGAGAGACTACATTCACATAACTTTTTTTACAGTATAGTTATAATTGTTCTACTTTATTATTATTGTTATTAATCTTAAAATATCATTGTTAGTCTCTTACTCTGCCTAATTTATAAATTAAACTTTATCATAGTTATGTATGTATAGGAAAAAACAGGATACATAGGGTTTGGTACTATCCGTGGTTTCAGGCATCCACTAGGGGTCCTGGAATGAATGTATTCCCGTGGATAAGGGGGGGCTACTGTACAAATCTAACCTGACCAGACACTTCCCTCAGCAGTGAGATTCCTGGCTGCTTACCTTGGCCTGAGGGAAGCCTGTTAAGAGCCCACTGGTGCCAAACAGTGTGTGTGACTTGAGCCTTGGACATCTCAGCATATAGACACAGGTCTCTAGACCTTTATCTACCATGAGCCTCTCAGACCACACCCTACCAACATAGCTCCTTAGTCGGTTCACCTGTCTGTTCTTCACCTGCCCTAACTCCCCAATCCTCACCTTTTAAAGCCAGGTGCATTCCTACCTCTCTCTCCTGTGGGCTCCTCAAACCCTACTCCAGCCAGACCCAATGCCACATCCCACGCCTTGGGCTGATTATGGATCCTCAGAGGCCTCTGCAGCACCTTAGCTCTGCCCATCACACCTGGTCAGGGTGCTGAGAGCCAGGTGGCTGATCTGGCTCAAGGGACTTACTTATGTTTCCCTAATCCTGCGTTCTAATCACTTTATTTGAGTGATCAGCCATCTTTGACTTTTAGATGTCAAAGCTGACTTTTTAGAACTGATCAGGGAGACCCCAATGTGTATATACCTGTCCCATGCCATACAGCTAAACTTCAAGCCACAGGTTCCGGCTTAAATACCTTACGTGACTTTGGGTCCTCACGCCTCACTTGACTGAACCATCTCTAAATACCTGTGTCTCCTCCAGAATTCACAGACCTCACCTGTCCTTTTACCTGTGCTGGTTCTTTCTAGAACTCACCTGTACCTGTCCTGACTCCTCTTCAGACCTTACTGGGCAAAATTAGCTCTCCAATGTGTGCTGACTCTGGCTGAGCCCTCAGAGACCCCACAATTTACCACCATGCCCCTGCCTGATCCCAGCATATGAGGCGGTCCCATGACTGACCTCAACAGACCGGGCCTCACCACTTTACATACCTCTGCCACGATGGACTCTTTCGACCTTAGCTTAGAGCCAATGGAGTATCCTTATGTCTGTCCTGACTCCTCAGTCTCACCTGAGAGACCCTAGCTCCAGGAACTTCACCTGTTCCTGTCCTTGGCTCCTCAGATGTCACCGTCTCAATTCAGCAATATATACTTTTAGTGACCAAGGCTGACTGTCCTCCAGCCACTGTGGTACGTGATATGTCTGGCCCACTGTGCCTGGCCACTCACTCAGGCCTCACTCCCCATGTTCCTGTGCTCAACCGTCATTCCTAGGCCTTACCTGGGAGATGCAGGCCTCTCCCTAAGCCACACCCCAACTCGTCTCTGCAATGCTGGGCCCTGAAGGGCAATGAAAACCCAGACTGGGACACAACCCCGCTCTGCTGGGCTCCCTGACTAGCAGGAGCACCCACACGTCCCTGACCACCACCTGCTCAGGCTCCAGATCCTGGAGAGGAGGTAGGAAGTGTCTCCCCTCCTTATCAGGCATGCAGCATTTGTTAGAAGCTGCACAGTCTCTCTCGACCGGGGTTCGTCATCTGAGCCACTGGATGCAGAAAACGACTTGAGTGACTCTTCTTAGTTCTTCCAAGGATGGTATATAACTAGTCCCATTGTAGAAAGAAGTTAACTGATTACACACAATAGGTGCCTTAGAGTGTTAGGGCTTAATGCTCTCCCAGACTTCAAGGCCTCGAGAGCTTTAAAAGGAGGTTACATTTGTGGATGCTGCCACCGTGCAAAGAGCTTCCAGTCTAAACGTCTGAAAATAGCCCCAGTGGGACCAGGGCTTCTTTGGTGAGCCTGCCACGGGTCATGTGTTAGAGCCATGCCCACTGCATTCACAGTACCCACCCCACACCCTGCACCCCAAGCCTTCCCCACATTCCACAGCCAGAGCCCTTCTCACACCACAGCTACACTCAAACAAACTGCAGAGAAAGCTTCTGCCCATCGCTTGGCACCAGGTGTAGCTCTAGCAGAGATGAGTCCATGTGACCACCTGTGGCTAGAGTGGCCTGTAGCTCTGCCACTTAGTCAAGGTTTGCTCTTCAAGCTGCCTGGCAAGGCCCCACCCAGGCTCCAGGCCTGGTGCCTCCTCCTCTCTGCCG